AAGTTTCATTAGTAAGTATTTAACAAGTTATGATGATATTCAGTTCTTCACGAGCACGGCCTTAATGCACGCGGTGTTATTTGGCCACTGGATTGGATATATGAACTGAATGTTATGTCAATAATTAGTTGTTTAGATCAGTTGTATATCAGTAAAATTTCAGCTCAATACATTGGATAATTAATGAGATAATACTATGAAAGTCATTAGGAAGTGAATGACCGTGGTAAGCCGACCAAGTTTAGGTGGTTACGAAAAAGCGAAAACACAGAACATTGTACTATCTTTTGAAATGTTTAGTATAATACACCTTACAATTTTGGTACAGACGCGTACACTGTTTAATACCTATATAATAATAATATAAAAGAAAACATTATCTTCCAGTTCCACAAAATTATCAAAAATCACCGCTAGAGCATGCCGTTCGGTAGGACGCAGGAGGAGTGGGGTGAAGGGGTAATACATTGTTTGGATAACGCACTCAGTCTTGCCAGAAGGTTACTTTTGTAACCTTTTAGATGATTTTTGAACTGCATTTTGAAATAGAAATGACAAGGACGGGTGATGTTTAATCGGTTGCTAAGCAACACAAGTTTTTTTAGGTAAGGAAGTAAAAGTTCAATTGAAATGATTATTTTACCTTTCAATAAAAAATCTTGAATAATCATGTAGTTTTTTTTTAAACTTTTGTACATGTCTGTACTAAATTTATAACACTATCCTACATATGTTAGAAGGTACCATAATGTTCTGCGTTTTCGCTTTTTCGTAACCACCTAAACTTGGTCGGCTTACCACGGTCATTCACTTCCTAATGACTTTCATAGTATTATCCAATGACGTATTATATATAGACACGTCATGAACCAACATCGCGGCGCTTAAAAACGGCGAAAATACTAGATAACTACTTCTACGAGTAAAGAAAGGGAAAGAAAATATGACATCGTATAGTGGAATGCCTTTGCTAGAGGGAGATAAATATACATCTTCAGTTATGCCGACGGCACGTGACTATACCTTCATGCGCCGGCCGCCATTATGATGGCGGGCGCCGGCGTCGAAAAAAATAAAATAAAAGTAGGTTGTTTGGTGAACTTACGCATGAAATGACACATTTTTGTCTTTAACTTTTGGAGTATAATTTGTACATCGTCTGAACACACACGACGACATGCTTTCTTTGTGTTTCGCACAGGTTTACACACGATATAAATTAAAAACAAACGTAGCGTCGCGCGGCAGGTTGGTGCGTAACTAAGCGCGATGTTGTCAATTGCCTTCATTTCATGTTGTCATTTTAGAGTGCGGACAACGTATCTATAGTTTTATACATCATTGGTATTATCTCATTAATTATCCAATGTATTGAGCTGAAATTTTACTGATATACAACTGATCTAAACAACTAATTATTGACATAACATTCAGTTCACATATCCAATCCAGTGGCCAAATAACACCGCGTGCATTAAGACCGTGCTCGTGAAGAACTGAATATCATCATAACTTGTTAAATACTTACGGGATACTAATGAAACTTCACATACATTTGAAGGCAGTTACAAGCTTTAAAATTACGTTTAAAGTAAGTCTTTAGACTTCTTATTGAGAGTGCTGGGGCCAATTGAAGTGTTTTTCTATTTAATGAAAAAACCTTTAAAATATGCATTATTTTGGTTTTGTTATTGCACAACAAATTTAAACTAAGTCCTCGGAAGTCGTGTACAAAATATGATAAGAATCCGCTTAACCATTTCAAAGATCTAGCAAAACCAAAAACGTTACCGCAGCAAAATCTCGAATAACTTCGCAACCGAAGAAAGAACAAATACAAAATAAGGCATAACATTTACTTTATCTATACAACTAATTTTATAGCTAATATTTATTTAAATATTCCCATTAGAAATAAAAAGGTCTGGCTGTGGTAACGTTACGCCAGCAGAAAATGTTTTTGTGAAATAATTAAAAAACTATAAGCGCAACAAATTTAAAAATGTGCGCAACAATTACAGAAGCCGCACAACTAATTGTCTATAAGATTCAAATGACCATTGTCGACAACATCTGGCCTGGGTAACAGACACAACAATGGCAATACTACCCAATGCCTGGTTTATTCAAGCATCTAAATATTTTCCATTTAAGATAGAGGGCAGGGAGATTTGTGTAAGCTTTGTCATGAAATGACATCATCCCATGATAACCAGCTTTCTTCAATCAGGCTCAGGTGCAAAGCCCTCAGCTGACATGACGCAAGGACAAACTTTCAAAAATTCTTTGTCATCTTTGAGTGTTTAGTTAATAAAATTGTATCCGGTAACTGCTATTTAGGTAGGTAGGTACGTACCTACCTACCTACACACTACATTACTAGAATTTATAACTAACGATAAATATATAGGTACAGATTTTGGATAAATATTATAATAATAACAGTTCATGTCAGGTCACATACTTGTACAAAAACCCCTATTAGTACCTATTGTAGGTACCTAACCTACTCTTTGACCAGAAACCGTGCCGTCGTCGTGCCGTCGCGTCGTGTTCGGCTAGGCCACGCTTACTACAAACATTTGACCAATGAGGTGCCCAAAGTTTCATACCTACAATATTCAGGTTTATTAATGTTTTTAATGTAAATCCTTAAAATTCACGTAAATAAAGCAAACAGGTTATCAAATTGCCGATGGTAGCGGCATTATTATCAGCGGGTAAAAAGGTATTGCGATCATTATTGATTTAAAAATACGATCTCGATTTCAAGGTAAATTGATCTTGCACAATATTTTTAATTATAACGCTAAATATTTGCGTTAGATTACAATACAAATAATAGATGTTTGTACAATTAACTAGAATCAATATTGACATTTAATTCGGAGAGAAATACCTGCCGGATCATCACCGATTGTTTTTTGGCCTAGTTTGTAGCACCAGACGTGACGAATTGACTCATAATTTATTTGGCAAGCGATCCTCGTTGTATCTACAAGTACGTAGAAGTACCTAGGTACTTACATTTGCAATACCAGAGGTATAATAAGTAATAAGTAATAGGCCCTCGTAAGAAACTTTTAAACTGTTCCACGTCAGACGCAGGCGGTAATCAAACACTCTTATTAACTACCAGACAAATAATAAGGTGCCATGGTCCTTCCATAGTTCCCATATCACCAGACCATAGCAACACACACTCACTATTATCCACAAAACCAACTGGGGACTGTCCTTGGATGCACTTTCAAAGTGAATACAGGGATAGTACCCGGTTTGAATAAATACTTTTGATTTTTGATTTTTTGATTTGATTTGTTTGTGTCCCATTTCATTTAGATAAAAGTTGTATAAAGGGCCTTCGCGTAAATGGAGCGGCCTGTCGTACGCCTCTTAAATGACCGGGACCCTGTGATGTTGGTAAAGCCAGACATAATAATAAAGCCCGCAGGGCACCTTGAGGTGAGGTGACGGGAATAAGCGAACCCGTGGGCTACCCTCATCCCGAGTGCTCCAGGAGGAGTTAGCCGTTCCTTATCTCCGACGATGACGAGGAACAAGTCTCCCACCTCTGGCTTGCCTTCAAGTACAGTCGCGACAATAGTGATTCTACTGGTGAAGCTGTTCGTAAGCGGCGAGAGGGCCACTGATACAGGATGCTTAGGCAGATGCAAATGATCTGAGTAGAAAGCTAGTGGCAGGTTTTTCACCCTTCAGCCACTCACAAATTCGTTTTCCCTCCGTTGCTATTACTAGCAACAATTCCGGGGGCCCGGACGGTGAGTTGGCAAATCTCCACCTGCCACTTTAACGTGTATTAATTACATACTTTAGGCAGGTGCCATAGTCCTTCCATAGTTCCCATCATACAAGTCGTTAGCAACCCACTCCCATAGCCTTATCCCGTGTTTCTATTATCCAGAAATCTAACCAGGGACTGTCCTTGGGTGTACTTTAATAGTGCATACAGGAACAGGCTCTGGTTTGTATCCCATTTCATTTAGATTAAAATTGTATTTTCTTTGCTTCGGTCCATGATACGCACCCCAAAGGTCCGGGACCCTGCAAATCCGTGAGTGCTGGTATTTTATAGGATCGCAGGAAGTACCTACCACTTCCCCGATTGACTTGCACTTTACACCTACATTTCGATAGATAGACAAATGAATGGAATGACTCAAATGTTTTGTCTTTGGGGGAAAATCAAAAGGCGCCTAGCTTTTTGGGGAAATAGGCTATGGAGTGTCGGATTCTTACCACACCAAAACCAACTCTGAGGTTACATTATGTTCCATTTCCTAATTTAGAACAGAAGGGAATATTATTTTAATACGCTATAATGATATAATACCTACGACATCATAATATGTTGAAAATAAAAGTACACCTGATTTGGAGACGGAATGTTTGCAATAAACATGGGAAATGAGTCGGTTTATACGTGCCGAGCCTTTCCCACGTTTAACATCCTAGAAGTATCGGTTACAGTTTCAATACAGAAAAGTAATACAGCAAGTTACATTTTCCCAATTTTTTTTAGTTCTTAGTTATGTAATTGTTATGATCGATGAACGATTAAGACGTTAAAATCAGAAGTCATAACAGTTTGTTCTATCAGGCTCTAGTACTCGTAATAAGAGGTGAGCCAATCCCGAGTACCGGGTCCAACTTACTACACTACTACTAAGAGTATTAGAAATACGCTAATATCAATATAATTTTGGCTGACGTGAGAATCAAACCCGAAACTCGTTGCTCGACAAACGTGATTATAACCATGACGTATTATATGTCCACTAGTATCGAGGCAGTTACACAAGAGATTTCTGTTTGACCATTTTTGTCACTATCGTTTTAACAGTAGTATAAATATATTAGGTAGACATTATTTATTGTGTAACTTGACATTTGTAAATAACCGTATTTTTATAAAACCGTAACAAATGTTTTTTCGTAGAAAAGAGTCATAACTAGCCGTAGTTGTCAATGTCACAGTAGTCACAGCGACATTTGTCAGAGTCAGAGACGTCAAAGTGTCAAAAGAAAATGACGTAAATTGTAGTACAACAAAAATAATTTTAATCTAATAAAATCGTGTATTGATTATTGAAAAAGGTTTTTAGTGAATAAGTTCAACATGTTTTGTTGTCTGAAAAGTTGTATGAATGGCTTTACGTTAACACCTAGCGTACCTATACGCATAAAGGAAAATCCTGTACAGTTGGATACGTTACACATGGGTTTGTATACTTAGCTCATTTTAATTACATCCTGTTCAACATAAGAATACAAACAGTGTTTACTTCTGTAAACAGTGTAGTACTTAGTTACTTAGTGAAATTAGCTAAGTTGAAACTGCGTGTACCGATTTAGCCTTGATGTTGAGTGCGCGCATCGATTTTGTTGTTGCGTGGGATGTCCGGTGCTTTCTGAAGGATACTACAGCGTTGGATTTACCCAACAATCTCTGCAACTACATGTATAGCACCTCTAGCACATAACTTGAATGATTTATGAAGACAAGATTGGTGTTGTACTTTATCTTTGCAAAGGCAAAGGAAATCTACAAGGTTATTTGATACATCAAATTTAATTTTATGACTAAGAAGTATAAAGAAATGAAATAAAACCTTTTTGATAAGCTTTTATTGTCATTTATTTATCAACTTCTATCTACTTGATAAACATATTGTATAATTCTAACTGTAAACTGAACTGAAGTATAAAATGTAAAAATGACTTCTTCAATAAAATATTGCATGAAAATAAATAGAAATTAAAATAGATGAAAAATGAACTCATATCTTAATTCTAGGTCATGAGATGGTGATAATAAAGGGGGGACAGCGAGTGTGTGGTTCAGGCTGTGCACTTGGCAATGCACCACTTGTGCAGAACAAATCATATTTTGAGGTGAAGCTGCAGCAGGGAGGAGTGTGGGCCGTTGGAGTGGCTACTAGGGAAACAGATCTCAATAGAGTACATGGTAATTCCTGTTTATTATACTTGAATTTTGTTAGCACTAACTTTCAATCTTAATGTAGACAATACATCACACTGTGACTGGGTTATGTTGAAGCAATGTGTATTGTTTTTTAATTTCTATGCATTCCTATATTGTTTATATTGACTAGAAAAGTGTAGGCATAAGTAATTACTGGTCCACTAATTTCACTGTTTTGTGTACAAAGTATCTGAAACTTGCTGATAGAAGTTTTAATGATATTATTATATTTAGTTACACACAAATATGAAAGTAAACCATCTTTTCATATGGTTTAAATGGTGATAGAAGAGAATAAGTATATAGTACTTTGTTACTTAAATAAAGATGTATATGACGATAGGTTTACTACCTGAGATACAGAGAAAGTATGTCTAAAACAAATCTTTACATAAGTTGTAAGTGTTTTCTTTAAAATTAATGTGTCATAATTTGAAAAATATTTTGCATAGTTTACACAGAGTGATTTGAGATTAACAAAAACCTAATAAAAACTCATCACTGTGTTGTGTAATGTTGTTGTCACTCATTTTCACACCTTTACAAATTATAAAGAAAGTCAAGCAAATTTTCAAACAAACATTGTGCTGTCTATTGTTTACAAAAATTTGGGTTGGACAGCAACTCTAACAGATTTCTAATCAGTTGAATAATTTACAAAAAATATTATGTAAAAAGGTATTTGTGGTTATGTTAGACTTTTTGTCGTCTTAAATGTACCATAAAAGAGTCATTGTAATACTGACTTGGTATTCCGTGCATACTTCCTGTGTCCACAATTGGTTAATGGGTTGAACAATACTGTGCAATATGTCCTTCAGCATATTGCTATGCAGACTTTGTTAGTCTGTTGCCAAAATTAATTTTTGGGTCATTGAGGTAACTGTTTACATAACGATGTTGTAATTAAAGTTCTGCTTAAGCAGTTGATATTTTTGTGTTCTATTTACAGTTGCAGACATAAGAATAATAATATTGTTTTTGTTCAGTTGTTTTCATGTCATAGGTTGAAGAATGGGCAGATGAATTAACTGATGGTAAGTAATATAATCAGCGCCGCCCACAGACACTCGTAATGTCAAACGAGTTACTACAGGGTTTATTAGGGATTTAGAGGATGAGATTGAGGATGGGAGACGAGTTGGGTCATGGTTACCTCACTCACACATCGAAACCTAAGTGTTTGTTCACACTATGGCATCACTGTTCGAGCCGGCCCATTCGTGCCGAAAGCAAGGCTTTCATACATCTCCCACATAATTTAATAGTTCATTGTTTATGTAGTTTTAGTATAGTATACCCACTAGTATGTCAGCATTGACATAAGTATTGACATGACATACAAGATATCAAGCCAAAATACATAAAGTACAATAATAAAGTAACATCTTCAAGGAAAATTCTCATTCTTCATACATAACATTGCAGGTGGAATGGACAAAGAATCTTGGTGTCTCAACAGTGACGGTACAGTGCGTCACTCGAACATCGAGCTCTATCACCTCGCACAAGCGCCGCGAGAGTCACCGACCGCCGATTTACTTGTATCAACAGAATCACCAACCCATGAAAATGAAAAGCCGGAAAGCGAGAAAGCGACAAACGCTGCGGCGGTCATGCCAGTAGAGGGCGACACCATCGGTGTGGCCTACGACCATGTAGATCTGAATTTCTTCTTGAATGGAAAGAATATGGAGATACCAGTCAGTAATATTAGGGGGACGGTATACCCAGCACTCTATGGTGAGTTGTTAATCTTTGTTTTTAAGCGATGCTTTGTTTAACTTAGCATGCATATTGATTAGGTTTATTCACGTTACAATGTAATTATTATTGATCTTAAAATAGACTAGCAGCAAGGTCGCGCGTCGTACCTATTTTATGAAGGTATGCACAGTACTAATGCACAAGTTAGAAAAATAAGTTATCATTCTGGCTTGTTTTTCTCATATTTCCACCCACTAAGGGTACCGATTTTCATGAAAGTTATGTTTTTTGTATACCCTGTCGTCCAGTAATTGTGTAGAGATGTAAATACATAGTTATACTATGTACACCCTCTTTTACCATTTGGGTTTGTTAACACACAATTCTACACTTTATGAAAAAAAAACCAAAAAATTACGATAAAATATCAATAATGCTTTAACCGACCTGGAAACCGAACTCGAAATCCCTTGCTCAGCAGTCTCGCTTGCGACTACTCGACCAACGAGACTGTAATAGCTGACTGAAATGTACCTTACTTACAGTTGACGACGGCGCAATTTTGGACGTAATCTTCGAAAACTTCCTCTACCCACCGCCGACAGGATTCGAAAAGATCATGGTGGAACAATCCCTCCTCTAACAGATGACCACGGACCGGCGGTGTATATGGACCTTGATGTTTTGGCAGAGTGCTATTGTGAATACTGCTTAAGACTTATATCTGAGACTGTCTAGTGTGAATGAACTATATTTTTAAATACTGAACCTTTCTCTGTAATGTCTTGTTTAGATTCACATTCTTGACTTTTATTTATTTTAATTTAGGGCTGATTTTTCAATGGTTAGATTTGTTAGATTAAAAGTTGTCTGGGGTATAATTATGACGCTGTCGCGTCAGAATGTTTATATAAGACAGCGACTTTTATTCCTCAGATAACATCTAACTGGCTACTGAAAAATCAGCCATTAGTCTTACAAAATTAATTGAAACTCGTTTTTTATTATAACAAAATGAAGCTTAACGTTTGGGCACAAATAGGTATTTGAATATAAGAAATTAGTTTTTTTTTTAACTTACGACAAAAAGCGACTTAAGTCGAACATTTATTCAGTTTGTGAATCTTTACATGGTGTTAATGAATATCTATGTATATCATGACTCTCTTGTCACTGTAAAGTATTAAATTGTGATCGACGGAAACTCCATATATTTATTTATGTAATTATAAGGTTGAGGCAAATGGCATATTAAGTCCAATTTTAAATATTTGACTTCCAACTTCCAACCTTTTGTACGCCATGGTCGGCTATAATCGACATTGGCGGAATAGCCTATTTTTCGTTAGTCGTGTATAGCCAGCCATGGCGGTACAAAGGTTAAAACTTAAAATATATGGTAAAGCAAAGTATAATAAACCGACCTTGAACCAGTTAAGAGTAGGGTAGAGATTGATGATGAGATGTCTGAGACTCTTTCCTTTCTGACACTTTTCTTATGTTTTCAATTTAATTCCTTTGATATAAAGTCGAAAATAAACTAATAAATGGGAGTAGGTCGACAAGTATGTGCTACCAGTAAAAAAAAAATAATCTCATATTAATTGTATCTACTCCGAACAGCAGGATTTGTCTTCATCTTTTATGTCATGGAGAAAGAAATAGAAAAGAGAAATAATATTTTAGTAATGAAAGATGAAGACAGCCATTTCAGTAGTTTGCCGGGGTTGCGGGGTAAGCGCAATAAGGCACCGCGGCCTCGGCCCAGAGCAGGAGAAGGAACGGGGGTTTTGACTTAGTAAAAGTCTGACATTTCCTCTCGCCCTCACCCTGGGCCAGATAAGTCATTTGATGATTTTCCCCTCACAAAAAAAAGACGTATCAGTAGTAATTAATATAACGAAGATTGCCATTTGTCTCCGCCTAAGTAGGTTCGCTTTTATGGTCGATGTGAGTCGCATCAATGTATAAATAAGTTTACTGTTTATATACATTTAATGTCATCAGCAAATCTGAATGTATCATGCACAATGTCACAAAACAACATACTTATTTTCGAAATATATCAATCGAATATTAATATAGTACACGTAGGTTCATAGCAGTACAAAATGTTTAACATTAAAAAATATATTGTCTAAATAAAAAATGACACTGAAAAAAAACCTTTAAAATAAAAAACAATTATTATACATCACTGACGAGGATGTGTATAGTGCAAGCATCATTAATATATTAATTTTATGGCAACATTGGTGTTATAAGTGTTGCCTTACGTAATATTGACACATTCCAAATTCAAATAAACAGGTTATCTGAGATGAAATTGTGAATTGATCTCTGTATTTGTTAATTGTAATGGTACTAATGTTTAGCTAGGAATATTTTACTAGATGCTTGGAATATTTTTTTTATATTGGGTTTTGTTCTAGGATAACAAAATTTCTATCATTTCGAACTAACCCTGGCAGCCACGACAATTATAAAAACTGCAGAAATCATTTGCTAACAAGTTGGCTTACAAATTTATTACAAAAGAATAAAATTGAAAGTCTATTAAAGGCGACTAATCAACCGATTTATATCTATTTTATATTTTTTGTTATTATCATTGTCTGGAGAGCTAATTCAGTGAATTCAGTAATTTTTCGTATAGTCAATCAATAGCGTCAATTTTTTAATGAAGTTTTAATCCGGTATCCGGTATGGTAAATTTTCTTGATGATATTTATTGGTAGGCTCAATACGTATTGGTGTGTTTAAAGAACTTTCGTTATCAGTTTTTATTCATAATGGTGCTTTAACATAGTTGTTAAATAACAGAAGTAAAAAACAAAGTAAATGTTTCGAAAAGTAAGAATTTAACAACCATGTGGGAAGCATCATATTGTTATTCCAGGAAAACTTAACTTAGGTCTCAAATTCGATAGTGATATTGCTCATATTTTTAATCTCGAAAGCACTATTAAATCTAGCCTACGAGACAATAATACTGCCGTCCAGTATAAAGGCAGTCCTTCCTATAATTGGAGCTTGCTCAATAGGGTTTCTAATAAAAGCGGTATACGCGATATTGAACCTTATAGTAGTACCCTATAGTTCAACCATAAGCGCAATAAAGCTTCATACTACAACCTGGCATTAGATTTTCAATATATTCCGTTTGTTATTTGAAGAAATTGAACAGTATTGGGGCAGCTTGAAGTACTAGTGTTGATTTTTAGACTCGGGGCTCCAATTCTTTAGGACAACATGGTGGTACGACCAGTTGCACAACCGAGGTGACTATAGACAGACTCCATAACAACTACTAAGATTCTTTGGTCGCCAACAACAAAGTTGGTTGCGCAACTAAGTTGAGTTGGTCGGCTGCACGAAAAGTTGCGCGATTAGAGTCTAGTGCGAGTTTGCTTTTGGTACTTTAAGGCGATAAACACGTTAACGACATTCGGCTCTCTGATTGGCAGATGAGAGAAACCAATCAGAGGGCTTGGTTGGCATTTTGATCGCGTTATACGTGAAATTACTAGTCACCAGGGTGAACGACCACGGTGTCTCAACGAAAGAGGGTCAAACACCAAAGGTGTAATACGTTGTATGAATGAATAGGTGTCCATTTATAATTGAGGAGAGATTGGTTGCATGAACTGAAAACTTTTAGTCATATCATTTTTAAGCCTTTGACTGCCGACAGAAAACTGTTGAAGGCAAATCCTCCGCTAACGGAGGTCACCAGTTTTCTGTCGGCAGTCAAAGGCTTTTGTCGATTCAAAATTCGATTAATAGTACTGTACCTATCTACATATTAGTTCAATGAAATATTACGAAATTCAAAATGTATATGTTTAATACAAATAAAGCTATTCGTATGATACTAGATAGTAATAAAATACTTAAAATCAAATGCAGCCAAATTACATAATATGTATATGAATTAACGTTTTTCTTCCCATTCATCGTAAAACTCTAACTACCTGGCCCAATTAATATTCCTTTGACAGTATTGCCATACTAAAAAAGAGCTAGAAAACAACCCATAAAATAAATAATTAATTCTACTAATATAATAAACATTAAAGTTTGCAAGTATGGATAGTGGGATGTTTCTTACTCCTTCACGTAAAAACTACCGTAAGAGAATTTGGCATTGAGATGGATTATAGTCTGGAATATAACAAAATACATAAGCTATTTTTTACCCTGGCAATGTGGAAGAACCGAAGAGTTTGTGTTTGAATTGACGAGAGAGTTAGAGAAGAGGTTAATATAGCTGATAAAAATGTAAAGTATAAAAAAAATATCTTGTTAGAAATAGGCTGGACCTATTATCTAAATCGCTTCATAACGATTATGGAGTTTCATACTCGTTGTTCTCCATTCGAATGTACACTTTGGAACGAGCACGTAGCTTCACTGACGAACGGATGGACTACTTATCATTCTATTTTGATGTTCCTTAAGTAGGTACCCAGTTTATGGTTTAGTTGGAATAAATGATTTCTAGATATAATTAGTTAATTTACCAAAAAGTTTAATATCAGATGTCTTTCTAGGTAGACTATATAGCGTCAAATGGGAACTAAATTGAATTATGTTATTAGTTTTTCTGTGTACATGTAATTACATATGTTTGTTTGTCCGCGAGTTTTTCTTAGTATTGTCCTAACATGTGTTTGATATATGAACGTAATTCTTTCTGTTTGCGAATTTTGAACTTTACTTACAGCAAAAAGCGTTTTTAAATCGTTCATCAATATTTTTATTATTAAAGGATCTTTTGTGTTGACTTTAGTTATATTTCAAAACTTACCCATATTTATGGGAAACAGTTTTGAAATTACTATCAACTTGGTATCATTAAATAATGACACCAAGTTGATTCAATGCAGGAATACTCGTAGAAACCAAAAAAAAACTATTTATACGGATAACTTTATTGCCGGTTTTAATATACTTAAATGATTGACGAATAAGAAGTACCAGCTCCAAAAAATGGACATGTACCTATACGTTACTTAAATGGTACATAGATTATTGTAAAAATGGGGAGTTGTTGAAGGCGGTTCTCTTTCATTAGGATATTAAAGTCAGTCGCGTGAACGTTGTGTATTCCTACATACCACAATAAGATGGTTCGGTCGCCGGCAACAGTTGCGCAACCAAGTTGCCACCAGATTTTGATACCACCACGGAAATGTGTACATTTTGTTGGTACCGTGACTTGGTGGTATGATCATGGTGTCCTAATGAAGCAGGGCTTTAATAGTGAATGTTTCATTAAATATACTGAATGCGGCTTTCTCATCTCTAATGATAATTTCATTGTAATGTATGTATAATATACAAATTATAAGAACAAGTGTGTATGTCTATTTATTATAATATTGTGATAAGAAAGCAAGAATAAAATGAATGCCAATTTATTTATCATTTTATTAACCCCCGTCAGTGCTAATGATTGACACCGAATATCAATGGTCATTGTTGTTCTTGTGGAGATAAATTGACTATCTTTTAAGATAATGGTATCATCACATGATTCTCAACACGTTTTATAAACTAGGTATCTATCTATACTATATTGACGCACGTTTATTATCTACGTAAGTATTCAATTTTAAAATCTACAGTAGATCTACTTACAGTAGATAAACTAAACAAATAAAAAAAAAACAAAACAAAACAGACTGTTCTGTTTTAACTGATCTGTTTACACTTTTTTACACAAAAATTGATTGATTTTCTTATGGTAGGAATCCAAAAGTGCTTGGCTGGT